TCCTCAGTGAGGTGCTTCTGCTGAGCCTTCTTCTCGATCAGATCCAATTTGAACTGAGCTCTTTTGCCAACTCTTTCTCCGGGTGGCTGCTTAGCTCCAGCAACTACTTCCTGTTGGGGCCCTAAGGAGCCCGGGCAGGTAGGCGAGGAGTGGATGGGAGGGGAGGGGCGAGCAGGGGCTGGCGAGGCGCCCCTTGACGTGAGTGACATCAAGTTGGCCATGCCCACCCAGTCACATGACCATGTAGCCACGCCTACCCAGCCGGTCATTAGGCAGATCATATTAGTGGTCCGCGGGATTTAAAATTATGAATTTAGTGGTCCCTGAGGTCCGAAAGACTGATAGACCATCAGTTTGCTAGAGATAAATATTTTAGATTTCAAGTTGAAAAGGACAAAAAGTTGATTTATTTCCAACAATTTTTTTTCTTTTCATTTTTCTTAACAGACAGGAATTCTGCTTACCAGGCCTGTTATGAGAGGAGATGAAGGAGACAATTCAGCCCCACCTCCCTTGCCAGGACCGGTAAGTGCGGATAGTCCTCAACGTACAGAAGTTCATTTACTGACCGAAGTTACAACGGCACTGGAAAAAAATGACTTACAACCTTTTTTCACAGTTACAACCTTTGCAGCATTCCCATGGTCACATGATCAAAATTTAGACACTTGCCAACGGGTTCATACTTACGACCATAGCTCTGTCCCAAGGTCATGTGATTCCCCCTTTCAGACAATCAGAATCAATAGGGAAGGCATATTCATGTAACAACCAGATTTCTAACTGACCAACTACAGTGATTTGCTTAACGGTGACAAAAAAGGTAAAAGGGGGCAAATTTCACTTAAATGTTTCACTTAGCAACAGAAATTTTGGACTCTATTACCAGAAATTAACCAATTTCATTGTATCCATGATGTACAATGACAATGAAGGCTAAATATATGATAAAGGGAACACCTTATTTTTCATAACATACCTGTAGCAAACAAAACTCTTGAGGCAGGTAGATTCCTCAAAGAATACGTTTATTGGCTATGTCATATTGGCGAAAACTGACTCTTGATTATTCCCACCGTTTTCACCCAGTTAAAAGTTTTTCACTTTCTCAAAACAATCAGTCACATGGCCCAATCAGGATACTGTCCAGTTGCTAGATGACGCCAGTCCCCTCCTTCGGAGCACCTGTAGGAACATCCTTGATTCCCAAGAGAAAGTATTTTGTTTTGACTAATAACACCCCAACTCTCTCTATTCCCCCTCCCTGTCCCTCTTCTCTAGTGTGTCAGTGCTGAAGTCTCAAAATGGCCTCAGCCAGGCCAGCTTCAGGGTTGACACAGGACTTCTGAAGCTAGCAAATCCAGGAGACGCTTCTTGTGAGTAACGCCTTTTCCTCTCTCATTCAGGTCCAAGGCATTCCTTTGCCCCCACCTCCCATGGGCATGCCCCCGATGCAGCCTCCCCCTCCTCCTGGCATGGGCCTCAACTTCCCCATGGGTGTGGGACCTCCTCCACCGCCCCCCAATCTGGGCGCGCCTCTTCGCATGCAGATGGATCCTTCCTCGTTGCCCGAGGAGGAGCGACTGAAGCTGGCTCAGCAACAGGCCGCCATGTTGATCCAACAGGAGGAGAGAGGCAAGCAGGTAACGACACACCTTGCTTTGAAAATGCACAGCAATAGCAATAGCAGTAGACTTATATACCGCTTCATAGGCCTTTCAGGCCTCTCTAAGCGGTTTACAGAGAGTCAGCATATTGCCCCCAACAATCTGGGTCCTCATTTTACCCACCTCTGAAGGATGGAAGGTATGTGCGTGGGGGCGGGCGTACATGGGTAACAGCCCACCAGCAACCTTCCCTACTGGGGGGGATAAGACACCCCTAGCGCCCCCCCAAGGGGCGTTAGGGGTGTCTCCCCCCCCCAAATAGTATTTGTTTCCAGAGGGTAAGCAATCTGTGTGCCAAGTTTGGTTGAGATTGCTCGAGGCGTTCCAGAGTTATGCTGGAACTCACACAGACAGACACGCACACCCACACACAGCCATTTTTCTCTATATAAGAAGAAGATGCAGCATCCCCATGGTCATATGATTTACATTTGGATGTTCGACAGCTGGCTGGCATTTATGACGGCTGTAGCGTCCCGGGATCACGCGGTCCTGTTTCAAGACCTCCTGACAAAAGTCCATGGGGAAGCCAGATTTCCCTTAACAACCCCAACGAGGGTGATTCGCTTCACAAACGCGGCAAGGAAAGTCGTAAAACCAGGGGGGGGGGGACACTCAACGTCTCCGATTTCTCACTGCGCCACATCAATTCCGGGCTCAACTGGTCGCACATCGAGGACCATCAGTAATGTTATTTAGAGGAAGGACCGGCACGCAATGGTGAAACAGCCTCCCATTTTCCTTTCCAGCCAATCCTAGATGGCGGGTCAAAAAGTTTGATAAAAAAGTTTGCAAGGTTGGATCTGTGTTGACTCTCCTCTCCCACCCACCCCCACCCTGTTCCCCCACCCCCCACCCCCACAGGCAGCTGTCCTAATGGAGCAGGCGCGCCAGCAAGAGATGTCGAAGCTAGCCCCTTCAGTACCTCGGACAGTTCCAGATCTTCTAGCAAGAACTCAAGGCCACCCCAGAAGTAAGTGCTTTTGGGCCAGGACAGGGGGTTGGTGTTCTTTGCATTAAAAAAAAAAGCCAAAACTCTATGCAACCAGCCCTCTGGGTGTGTAGGACTACAATTCCCATTGTCCCCAACTGGCAGGATCATCGCACACTTCCGGAAAGCATGAAAAGGGTTTCTTTCTCTTTTGTTCATGTTTTGTTCGTTTTATTTATCTAACATTCAAATTCCATTGAACAGTGTGTGAGCTGGGTACAGTTATTCTTAAACAGTCATAGTCCACATATTCGTTATTGTATCCATCATCATAATATTGATAATATAATAAAAGTCACACTTAACATCATCTTTAACAACTCTCCCCATTAAAATTTCCTCTTTTTATATCTCTTCCTTTCTGACTTCTGCTTCTGTTGTCTAGCCATTGATAAAATACATCCCATATCAAAAAAATACTCACTTTTTTCTTTATCCTTAATAGCGAGTGTTAATCTATCCATTTCTGCGCGTTCTAATATTTTCTTAATTACTTTCTCATCTGACGGAATCTCATCCTTTTTCCATCGCTGTGCAAATACAATTCTGGTTACCTGTAGATATATAGTCTGAAAGCATGAAAAGGATTTCTAAACAACTACATGTTTCCTTAAATTTGGGGCGCCCAAGATTTTGATGGACTTCAACACCCATTGTTCTCATCTGCCCATATTCACCCATCATCCTATCCCCTTTTGAGGTGGGGTAAGCAAGGTTAATCAAACCACAGGGGAAAATAGAAAAGGGAATGCTATTTAAATCAAAGAAATTAAAGGCCGGATATCAAAGGAGTAAAAAGCTTTCTCTCCGTCTATATTACACCCAATTGATTATATCTTCCTACAATTTCATTTTGTTTGTTTGCATCCTGCCTTTATTGTTTTTATAAATAACTAAACGATAACCCGGCGTTGCCCAGGTATTTATTTATAGGGGGGAAATGTCCAGACCAAACATAATTTCTAATGTTTGATTCTCCTCCCCCCTTAACAGAGGAAGCCCCCTTGTGGAGTACTGTGAAGCCATTACCATGGCAACTCCGCTGCACTTTTACAGCAGTACAGTAGAAACCATTTTAAGGCACAACAGGCTGTATCTTGACAGAACACACACCCTGAATGGTTTTAGGGGTGTCTTACCCGCATAGTATTTGTTTCCAGAGAGTAAGTCATCTGTGTACCAAGGTTCGTTGAAATTGCTCAAGGAACATGCAACACACACACCCATTTATATATATATGTAGACTAAAGGCAAACATACCTAAAACTCCTTCCTCCTCCTATTTTCTTTACAACAGTCCTGTGAGGTGGGTTTGGCTGAGAGAGCGTCTAACCCAAAGTCACCTAGTCGGCTTTCACCCCTAAGGAAGAACTAGAACTCACCATCTCCTGGTGAACAATTAACCAGCATAGCTGACTGAAGAATTCTGGGCAGTCCACAAGTCTTAAAAGTTGCCAAGTTTTGTCTTAAAGCATTCAATATTAATAAGTTGTGGCCCGCCAACGGAGCTGGTGGCAGACTGGGTCAGTGAGGAGGTTGGGGAGGAACCTGGGCCAGTCCTGAGTCTGGGGAAGGCCCTGATGAGGGCTCTGCCAAGGTGGCACAGTGGTTAAAATGCAGCACTGCAGGCTACTGCTAGATCAGCAGGTCAGCGGTTCAAATCCCACCGGCTCAGGGTTGACTCAGCCTTCCATCCTTCCGAGGTGGGTAAAATGAGGACCCAGATTGTTGGGGGCAATATGCTGACTCTCTGTAAACCACTTAGAGAGGCCTGAAAGGCCTATGAAGCGGTATATAAGTCTACTGCTATTGCTATTGCTCTGTGTCGGAGGCAGAGAAGGGGCCAGGGCCGTATGCCAGTTATCAGCTGCCTTTAGAGTCAGACATCAATGGGGCAGAAGAACAGCTGGAGCCTGTTCCCAGTGTGCGCATACGCAGAGTTGCCAGGCAAAGGGAAGAGCTAAAGAACGGGGGTCAACTTGGGAGTAAGGCCACAGGTGGACGGTGAATGGCCCCTCCCATAGGGAATAAAAGAGGAGCGAAAGGGGAGGGGAGTTTGCAGGAGTTCAATTCATTAGGGTGAAGATCTGTTCCTGATTTCTTGCCAAGTAATTGCTGCTACAGAGTGGCGTTTAGAAGATACCGGCCTGGCAGCTCTCCAGGCCTGATGAAGGTCCATATTTGTGGAATCTCTTGAAAGACTCTTGGCCGGGACTTTGCTGGAGAGGAATTCCCTTTCACCATAATAAAAGAGGTTTCATCGGGACGAGGAGTCAGCTTCGTACTCTTGGGAAGTCTAGGTCAGAACAAGATCAGAGAAGTAGGTTCAGTAAAATCATGGACTTGCAAGGGTATTTCAGAGAAAATGTCCTCCCTTTGTGGCTGAACAGGAATGTCCGCATCACTTTTGTGTGTGTGGGGGGGGGGGAGTTTAAGCACAACTTCAGTCAACGAAAATCCATTGCATAACTGCTGCTTCTGAAGACAGAGCAGCTGCTTTGAAGGATTTGCCAGCGTTTGGAAGAAGTAATCTTGCAGCATTAGTGTTTTTGACTGTTTTCTTCCTGTCTCCTGGGTATTGAAACAAAGCACAAGAATTTATAAAGGCTTACAGAATATTGTCCATCTCAAAGCTGCGTGCCAGGAAAAGCTGGGTTTGACCTCCAGAATTAAAATTCTGTTCAGCAGCTTGGCTGGTTGTGGCCCTGCTTGACTGAATTATATTTTAAGACCTCTTCTAGTACTCACGTAATATGTGTGTGTAAGAGAACACGTGGAGATGCGGGTCCTTGGTGCTATCTGTGCTCGGTGGTTTTCTTGCCAACGTTTCATGACCCAACTAGGTAACATCAGCAGTGTTGGAAGGGAGTTGGGTTTGTGGAAAGGAGGAGGAGGACTGTGGGGTCCTTGGTGCTCTCTGAGCTTGGTGGTTTCCTTGCCAACGTTTCATGACCCAACTAGGTAACATCAGCAGTGTTGGAAGGGAGTTGGGTTTGTGGAAAGGAGGAGGAGGACTGTGGGGTCCTTGGTGCTCTCTGAGCTTGGTGGTTTCCTTGCCAACGTTTCATGACCCAACTAGGTAACGTCATCAATGAGTGGAGGAGGAAGGGAACGAGGAAGAATATTGGTTCTCGGTGGTCCTCTGAGCTCAGTTTTCTTGCAGATGTTTCACAACCCAACTAGGAAACATCATTAGTGCTAGAAGAGGGTGAAGTTTGGGAGGGCAGGGGAGGAGGAGGTGGAGTAGTGGAGGAGGAGGAACATTGATGTGGTCCTTGGTGCTCTCTGAGCTTGGTGATTTTCTTGCTGATGTTTCATGACCCAACTAGGTAACATCCGCAGTGTTGGAAGGGAGTTGGGTTTGTGGAAAGGAGGAAGAGGACTGTAGGGTCCTTGGTGCTCTCTGAGCTTGGTAGTTTTCTTGCCAATGTTTCATGACCCAACTAGGTAACATCATCCGTGCTAGAAGGGAGTGTGGTTTTCATTATTTATACGCAAGTGACTTGCCCTGTCAATTTTGGTATTCTTCTTGGTGGTTCCTTGGTTAGACTGTTGCTTACAGTTGAAACCAAACTTCGCTCCCTTCCAGCACTCATGGTGTTCCCTGCTTTGTCTTTTAAGCAAAGCAAGGGCAAAAATGGTATGGCTTCAGCTAATTTGAGTCTCGTTTTCCCTATTCCAGTGAGCCCCTCTCCCAGCTCCCCCATGGGAATGGCGAGCTCAAGACCCCGTGGCCCCCCACCTCCTCCTGGAGAAGACAGTCGGGAGGTAAGTCAATTTATGGCCAGAAGTGGCCAATGGAAACTAGGCTGTTCTTAAATCCATCCATCCACCCAACCATTCATCTGTCCATCCATCCATCCTTTCATCCATGCATGCATTTGTTCGTCCGTCCATCCATGCATTCATCCGTCCATCCACCCATCCTTCACTTACCCATCTATGCATTCATCCGTCCATTCATCCACCCATGCATGCATGCATCCATTCATCCATCCCTCCATGCATTCATCCATGCTTGCATCTGTCCATCCATCCTTTCATCCATGCATTTGTTCGTCCATCCACCCATCCGTTCACCCACCCATATATGCATTTGTCTGTCCACCCATCCATCCATCCATCTATCCATCCATGCATTCAGCCGTCCATCCACCCATCCGTTCACTCACCCATCTATGCATTCATCCGTCCATCCATCCACCCATGCATGCATGCATGCATCCATTCATCCATCCCTCCATGCATTCATCCATGCTTGCATCTGTCCATCCATCCTTTTATCCATGCATTTGTTCGTCCATCCACCCATCCGTTCACCCACCCATCTATGCATTTGTCCGTCCACCCATCCATGCATCCATCCATGCATTCATCCGTCCACCCATCCATCCATCCATTCAGCCATGCATGCATGCATCCATCCATTCATTCCTCCGTCCATCCATCCGAGGTGGCGCAGTGGTTAAGTGTGCTGTATTGCAGCCACTTCAGCTGACTGTTATCTGCAGTTCGGCTGTTCAAATCTCACCGGCTCAAGGTTGACTCAGCCTTCCATCCTTCCGAGGTGGGTAAAATGAGGACCCAGACTGTGGGGGCGAATGTGCTGACTGTGTAAACCGCTTAGAGAGGGCTGAAAGCCCTATGAAGCGGTATATAAGTCTAACTGCTATAACTGCTATCCATCCATGCATTCATCCATCTGTCCACCTATCCATTCATCCATCCACCTACCCATCCATTCATCCAATTTGTAGGAGGAGAAATTGAGCTATGTGTAGGTAAGGGAGGAAGGGGGGCGGGGAACCAACCAGGTGTTGATACAACAGCTCTTAAGTAGAAATGGGATTCAATGATTTGGAAACTGCCTAAGAATTTTGTCTGGGTTCAAGGGGAGATCAGGTTTGTGCTTGTACAGCGTGCGCCTAGAAGCAGGCACAGGAGTCAGAGGACTTACCTCCGTGGTAAAAAAAAAAAAAGTGTCCTCTTTCCAGAGGGTTCTTAGCCTGATTCGTCACAAAGTTTATCCACTCCATCCGCTCAAATGCCTTTTCTCTTTGTCCACTGTTTCCTAAAGCGAAAGTATATCCAAGCCTGAATTGTTTTGCACACTTCAAATTTGCAGACAGGTTATAATCTTGAGTGTTGGTTTTGACCCTTCCAGATCGATGATTCAGGGGTGGGCCCCAAAATTCCTCAAGTCTTGGAAAAGATCCTTCAGCTTAAGGAGAGCCGTCAGGAAGAGCTCACATCTGTACCCGGAGCCACAGGTAAAGGGCTAGGATTGACATGGTGTGGATGGTCCCGGAAATCGAGAAGGATGTAGAGGAAGTAGAAAGAACATGTGGGCAGACTATAACCCATTAACAATTCAATGGAAAGGAGAGGCAAAAAGGAAAAAGATGGACCATGAATCAGAGGGTTGGGAAAGAAAAGAACTATGTTCAATACGTGGAGAGAGAACTTGCCATTGCCAAGCGTCCAAATTTTGTTCATGTGGGTATTAGGATGCTGCAATGGTCATAAGTATGAAGTACAGTCATAAGCCACTTTTTCCAGTGCTGTTGTAACTTTGAATGGTCAGTAAACAAACTGTTGTAAATTGAGGGCTACCTGTAATCTTCCTTTGGGGGGGGGGGGCTGGTGTGTTTCTTCCCATTTTTTCATCTTCCCCGCCATCCCACCCCACTAACCCCTGCCCCAATTTTGCCCTTCCTCGCAGACGATGACATGGAGACCGAGCTGAGGGTGCTAGCCGGCATCTCTGCCTCCGATGCGGAAGACGACGCTTCAGCCATGTCTAAGAAAGAGGTGAGAGGAATCGGAGCTGGGTCAGCAAGAACTTGGGAAAGGCTGCAGCTCAGGGAGCAAGTTGCTTCCTTTTGCATGAAAAAAGAAATATCGTCGGTTCGTTTCTGACTCTGGTAGTGTCAGACCTGCCACAGTCTCATCTCCTAGGAAAGTGAAACTCTCAACTCCCATTTGATGGAAGCAAAAGGCACTTTTACTGAGAGATGCTGATTGCGGGAGAATGTGAATTCCCCACGCATCAATACAAAATGACCCCCTTGGTTTCCCCTTAGCCCTCTCCCCCAGGGGTCCTTATGTAGTGTATAGTAGAGGTGAAGACACTTTGAGAGCTGCATGCAACGGAATTTCATTTTAATATATGCCAATTAGTGTATATTTGGTTCCACCACAAAACTGCGGTCGACTAAAGCGCGCTCGACGAAACCGCGTACCTGACGTCATCACAGCACGACGAAAAAAGCACGCTGTGAGCGCTAAAGTTAAACCTAAACCTAACCCCCCGAAACCTAACCCTAAACCTAACCCTTAACGTAACCCTAAACCTAACCCT